CTTCTCACACTGCAGTGAAAATCTCCTCGCACGCATCGCCCTAACTGCTCTACTCTCACCATGAGCCTCCCTCCTTGCCACATCACCTGGTCATTCTGCGTCGCAGCTGCTATTATAATGCTCCATGGCGGGTAGCTTCCTCATCCAGCCAGTTCCGCATCGTGTCTGCGAACCTTCTCATGGACGACACCTTGCTCACAACAGCATGTTCCCACTGCATGAGAACTGCTCCGTGACTGCTACCTGGATGCACTCCACATGCTGCCCACGTGTTGCATGTCACACAGGGTGCTAGATTGTCTGGCATTCATCCCCTTGGTTTCCACGCCTAAGTTATCCTGAATGGTTTCTAGTGCCGACATTGTTCGTGCTGCACCAGCACACGCCTCCCGTGTGGGCCCTGCATGATTTCTCATGCAGGTGCTAATTTGCATCATACAACGTAAACCACTGTGTGCAGACCAAAAGGGGTGGTCCATGCCCACCAAAGCGCGCTGTTGCACACACTCTAAACCGGCGGAGTGCTCTCATACCAGCTTTAACAGCTGTCTGTGTATTGTCCGAATGAGGGACTCCTTATGCTGATGGTGATATACGTCGCATCAAATCAAACTGCTGCTTTATCTGCTGTCAAAGTTAAGAATATCACACTAATATTTCAAAGTTAAGTTAATTGGGGCATCCAAATTAAAACTAATTAATAATGTATGGATTTTGTTTTTCATCATTAAATGTTAATTACACATTAACCAAATATCATATGATATATTATGGCCATCCAATCCAAGGAATTTTTCTTTATAATGACATTTATTATATTCTAAAGATTGTGCCTCTCATCCTTGATGTTAATGGGTATATCCAACATAAGCCTCTATAGAGAGTCATACAAGGGTTGACGGGGCTTTTCTTTTCTTGAAGGTGCAAGGAGATGTAGTATCCTTGAACCGGTGGATGGATTTGTCCTTTTCTGGGTTGACGGGGGGGTTTCTTGTCTTTGAAAGGACTTACCATATAGAAAGCTTCTTCTGCTGACCTCTCTAACCTGAGCTTGAGCAATCTTACATCAACCATATATAACTTAGATAACTTGTTTGGTTGCGATTCCCATATTTTCTAATCCCGGTGCAGAGAATAAGGACAGCATTAGATAGTTACTAGATATGTACAAGTTGAACAGAATCGGTACAATCATGTTAGTTTTAAGAATATAAAGTATATTGTCGTAAATAGAAGAAGAGTTCAAATAATTTATTATCGAAATAAATATTCTCAAGAATTTTCAGTAAATGGATCTACTCCGTAACTTCGAGAACTGTAGCCGACCAGTCAAGCATCCGAGTCGCCATGGTAGCTTCTCCATTAGCGGACATGATTGACCAGAAGCCACTCTTCTGTGCCATGCTCCCTACGCCAGGAGTCGAGCAATGCTGAGAAGAGGCACAGACCCTTGGACTTTCAATCTGTTGGTTGTAGAGAAAACACGTAGGTGCAGATTGTCGTTACAACTCGAGTATTTTTATGATAGCTGATATTTATCAAGTTAGGTTTTCTATACGATGCCAGCAAGCCCATCGGTATCTGTTATTCGTCTAGTGGCCTTTGTTCAAATCGGTTAAGTTTGAGAAGACCAAATATTCCATCCATGGGAGAAACAACGAAGCATCCCTGAAGCTTCATGTCTTACTCTGGAGGCATATAGGAGATCCAAACAATGCTTCTCCACATAATCTATTGCTTTTTGTAGGCAATCAATACGTCCGATCACAAGATATCCATCTTCTCATCACTGATCTATAGCTAATATTCAGACCTGTATCTACGTCGATGGGCAGAGGTTTGCTCAATTGGGAGCTCTGACTGTGGGACGATGACCACGGCAGAGAGGGTGACTATGGTGGTGACGGATGCCATATGCTTCTAAAGCTTGAGGTTCGCATCGTCGTCTTCATGGCTGGAGGTGCATGATGGCACGCAGCGTGGTGCTGGACAGACCCATGTAGAGGAGCCGCAGCAGAAGCACGGCACCAGAGTGCACCCACGCAGGGAGCAAACACTGGTCTGGCATTTAATGGCGCCAGAGCCCAAGGAGTGTGCCAGAGGCGCCAACAGACATGCTGTAAGCGTGCCAATATTGAGCCGCTCACGTGAATAGCGGAGACTCGCCCTGCGGCGTGCCTTGGGTGGATGGAAAGGCCTAGTCTGGACGCATTGAAGGTGTGGACATTGGTACAGGATGACGTACAAACGACGCTCACACCGAAAGGGATGCAAGTATCAAGGGAAGGTTTGTTGAGTTTGGACTGTCACAACTACAGGAAATTGTGTAGAAGAGCAGTAGACATCAGGTGAACGTCACGCGCTGCACAGCGCATGTAGGTGGCGTCCATAACAGTGCAGTGGACTGAAGATTTGTGGACAGTGTCTGGCACAGCGCTGCAGACAACATGCGTTGGGGTGACAAGGGCGGCGCCGGGCACGAGTCGCCGCGGTGGAGTTTCCATGTAGTGGGAGCTCGCTGGTATGTCTCTCATGCTCATTCTCTCTGCACCTATTAAGCAGATCTCTGACTGGGGGAGTCAACCCACCCCAGCACAGATGGCTTTAAGCAATCCCTAGTGGTCGTCTTTCATGATGAGAAGTGTTTGGGAGATAGCAGCTGTGGATCCGTCAAGTCAACTAAAATCCAACCAATCTCCAGTGGTCGTCACTGACGGGTCAAACTCACCCATTTGTAGCAATTCTTTCATGATTTCAAAGGATATTATTTCATAGACATTTCATCTTCTAAAAAATGTGGACTCTCTGCAGCCACTCTGCTCGAAAACCACAACGTAGCATGAAGCCTAGCCTTCTTGATGTTGTTGGGGGAGATTATGATCTGCGAGAAGGAACTGGAGGTCAAAGGGTGAAGACTCCAAAGAAGAGGCGAACGGAGAGGTGGGCACAGAAAACAATGTCAACGGTGGTTGGTGGGGTCATGCTAGAGAGTGTAGCTCTAACCGTTGACTTCTCCACAACTGAAAGCTACCCCTACAAATGTGCACCACAACTAGCTGATGTTTGGAGCAGGGATCTGACTCACCTTTCTTCTCTACAGATTCCGTCCGCAGCCCAACTCAGCTTTTCTTTCTATAGAAAAAGCAGCATGAAGTCAGACCCACGGCAGAATCAGCAAAAGATATCAGTCAACCATTCGAGTGCAAGGTTCTAATCATCCCAGAAGACACTGCTTGGATGCATGATAGAAAACACTGCTGGATGAGAAGTCACTTAATTCCCCTCAACTCCCACAAAACCTCAATAATGTCCTGGCTAATATAGAAAAAGACTAGAAATACAAAGATGGCAGGCTAATAATATCAAGTTCATATCACAATTGAAGATTTCTCATGAACTTGGTACATCGATTATTTTTATAATGTGAAAAGATAGTCCTCTAGCTAGCACAAACTATGCAAAGAATTGCAGTACAAGGCCTGTTCCGCTGATTGCCAAGTGCTGTTGACTGAAACAGCGTAGTACCTTTGAATCTCTGATGGCTTTCATAATGAATTTAGTAAAGCCTTTTAAGTAATTTCTTGCTCAAATGCCACACTTTGTTATGATGGTTTAGAAGAATCCTTTAGGTTGACTTGATAAAGCCATTGGGCGAAGTCCACCTAGATTTCTCCTCTTTCTCTTCAACATTCTTTTAGGGACTGATTTCAGGTACAGAACTAGTTACTTCCCTTTTTATAAAACATATTAAAAACAGTGCTCAGGTTAGAGAGAGAGAGAGAGAGAGAGAGAGAGATGGAAAACTTAGAGTGAGATATGTACTCAACCACAGGGGCCACTAAGTGCTCCGATTTGGCTGGGAAGGAAGTTCTTGCAGGACATGTTGCAGACAAATTCATGTAGGAGAATGGTCAATGCTTGTGCTTTACTTCATGATCTTCAGGTGAGGCAGAGGCCAATTGATGCAGAGGCCAATTGGGCAAATGCTCGTCAACTGGCCTTGGGTGGGTCCAAGAGAAATTACTAGACAGGGGTGCTCCTATCTGACAGAACCAATGCTATCATAAAATAAAGTCAAAAACATCCATACATGCTTAACTTATAAGATTATCGCAATAGTTTCCATGCTTAGATCTCAAATGTCTCAAATTTAATGCAAACTGTAAAGACGAAAAAAGGAGTTGGGCCCACAAGACTTTCCATAAACTAGCATCTCTATCCATAATAAACTCAAAATTCTATCACCTGGTGAATAAAGAATTATTAAAATGGCAGACAAAAAGAAAAATACATTCCATAAGGTGAACATTACAGAAGACGAAGTTACATCTATATATCATAAACTCACAATGAGTAAAAACATAAATAAATTAGTTTAAGGTTAAGAATAAAGTCGCAAGAGAGATTCAAGCAAAAATAAGAAATGTTGGAGTGAGCAAGAATATGAAATCACGTTTATAAGTTAATCCAAGGGGCATGGATGAACAGTTATCTCGTGACAATGAGAAGCTCATCAGATTAAGGCATGACAATGGTGACTGGAACTGCAGTTGACAGAATGAATACAAGACCTTTGTAACCATTAGACAAGTTCCTGTCATATGAACAGTAGAATGAATAACATAGAGATGTTCATTAGGAAAAGTTCTCTCACATTCTCAACAAGACGACTGGATTACAACAAAATAATGCACCTTCGGATGTTTCCGGCTATAATTTCGGCCATACTTTCGGTTATATTATTCATTCTTCCATAGACAACAGCTGATATTCGTCTAGAGTTAGGCTCCACATCTGAAATTCACCAGATCATCAACTGGAACTACGAAATCACTTGAACATCACTCTATTATGCTATCAACGCTTATGAACAGCCTCAGAGCCAGAAGTCAATGCACATAGACTCTGGCCTTTATTGTGGTGACGTTTCGATCCTCTCAAACCAGTTAACCCCAGTTGCATAAGATTCTAATGAAAAAGCAAAAAGAATCTTACTTAATTCATAAAGGCACCGTGGCCATGAGTTCTTCTCTAGACGAGGTAATTTTTTCCATGGCTACAGGTTCATTCTCAAGATCTGAGGTGTATATTCTGGTTCCAGCCTTTGGAAAGACCAAATCGGTGATTGAAACAAGCTGGTTTCTCATAGATCCACCACGAGACTGCTCAGATGATGTGGGCGAGAGCCGTTTCAACTGAGACCGCTGGCAAATAATCCTACCCTTGTTCCAACCCGGAAAAGTGAACGCCGTGGAAGATATGTTGTCCTTCAGGAATGCATAGGCTGCCTTTGCAATGGGGAATCCTCTTGTCGCTGAGCTTTTCTCCATCTCCCCACGTCTGATTTTAAAGCAAAACAGGTTTAGTACAAGTCGTGGAGATGCAATCAAGAATAGGAGATAATAACTGACATCGGAGGATTTCACTTGCAATCGATTGATATATTTCTGAACTTATTCTATGTACTTTGGGTTCAGATGACAACAGAAATCCATCAACAAATTATAATTTCAGAAAGAAACCAATAAGGGAACAACAAAAAATTAGAAGCAGTACAAGGGAACAATAATAATTTAGAAATATTAAAAAGCGACTGTCACCATTCCTGAAACAAAATGCTAACCAAATAAAGGAAATCAACACGCTCCCTTTAATCTTAGCCCAGAGAGCATGGTAGGTGCCTCAATCAACCACCCTTGCTTTCGTCCAGCCCACATACATAACAGCTTCACAAAATAGTCGTTCGTCCATTTGAACTTTTGTTTAGATGTTGTACCATCCATCTCTCTTTCTCCAAAAATTCAACAACATTGCTGGTGTTAGTGCTTACCATTCACTTTCCGCATGAAATGTCCAGATCCCTAGCTGACTTAACATTGACTCCATTTATTCGTTTCAGCAACATCAATTGGGACAGCTTGAAACAGAGCATTCCACAGTATGCAAACTATACAACAACCTATATGAATATGATTCATGGACTACTTTTATCCCGCAGCAAACACACTCGTCCGCATGTTTGGCAAAAAACTCTGAATTCCCGTGCATATAGGACTTCTGTAGACTGTTCTGAAAATTTTCTCCGTCATCACTTATGCTCCCACTGAAAACATGACCACCAACATCTACACCCTCTGTTTCCATAGATTCTACTGCACACGTTCAAGTACCCCTTTTCAATTCCCCTCCACATCATCTGATCATGTTGATCTTCTTTTTTAATAAGTATGGATAATCATCAGTCACACCTGTTCTAGTTATTCGATTTCTCCAATACTGTAGCCTCCAATCCTCAGGTTCTGAGTTCCAACAGCGTGGAAAAGCTTTTTCACCTTGATATGAACTTTATAAGTTCAGGGAAATTTACTGCTTGTATCTCTTCTTGAAGCTATTTATCCTCCTTAACTGTCAATCTTTCTCTATTTTCGACAGCAAATACTGCCGAAGCATGATTTTTCCAAATGAGATGGAGAAATCTATTAGATATTACAGACTTCCAGTCTTCATCAGATGATAAGCTTTAGCTTTGACGATTTCTGTCCATAACAAATTATCGTCCTCAATGTACCATAAGCACTTAGCTCCCAGAACCCTATTATATAAATTAAAGTTAAGAAGACCTGCACCATTCTTCCTTGAATCGACAAACCTATTTCATCAAGCGTGCACTATTCCAGAAGAACCTATTTCTAATATCACTTATTATTTACAGATATGTCAAAGTATATATATTGATACCAGTTACTTCACAGCTTTTGAACCACTGTCAAATGCACAGAATAAGGTTACATCAGCCAAAAACTGTTCCTCATTTCAAAGTTTATAAGCAACAACACTCTTCTAACAAGTTATTTGAGGTCAATAGTATCTTCAAAAAGATCCCGCATTAAGCAAGCTCCTAGATACTGATCATCTTACATTCTAAAGAAACTAGTTTCTATTATGAGCATCTTATGTGCAGGATACGCAAAAACAACAAATGCATCACTGAAATCCTCTCATCCATCCTAACAGATAGATTGTATAGACCCAAAATGATAACTGCAATTTTGGATTAGCACTTAATTATCCAGAAGTGCAAATCTGAGCAAACTGATGCAATTTTAGATCTATACAATCTACCAGTTATCAAACCCTAAATACTGAAGAACATGAAAAAGACAATCATATCACACCCGATCAGAAGCATTCTCTCAGTATATCTAGTGGACTGATCATTTTTGCTGTCGGTATCTCAAAGAGTCTACACAACCAAGCTCTGTAAAGAAGTTATGACAATTTTTTTTCACCCTCTCATAAAGATTCTCAGTCTCCATCTAATCAAACTCTTATCAAGTATTTGAAAGCCGTGTATCATCTTTTCTGCTCTTACTTCTGTTGTCTAAATACCAAAATGCTTCGAGACACTATAAATGGACTTGTCTAAAACATTTTTAGAACGTGTATGCCATTTTATTTTACAGCATCCTGTGATTCATACGTGTAGAATGTCCTTACTCTCTCACATAGTGAAGTCAAGAGGGCGTCTTTCCATGATAGCTAAATAAATACTATTTAAGTAGCAATATAAAATGAAAACGAAATTTAAAATCCACGGACTTAATCTCTCTCTGGTGGGTATACGTTCAGACCACTTCCAAGGTCAACCTACTTCAAGATAATAGAAGAAGTTAAAGATGTTTGTGGTTTGTCAAGCCTTAGTTTGCATCATCGGAGAATTAAAAATTAAGATAAAACTAAGAGAGTAAGGCATTCTGAGTAGAACTAAGAAGATAACTGTAAACTAATTTGTGGTGAGATATAAAAGACTCACACTACAACAATAGCTGCCAGCTGAGGAAGATCATCTCCACTACCAAGTTTCTCGTGAATATTATTCAACCACATTGAAATTGCAGTAAGCGCACCGCCCACTGACATCCTAATGAAAACATCAAACCTCAGCTATGCAAGAATGAGAAAAAATTAAAAAGAAAATTGCATGATTTCAATGGAAGTATAATAATACCTATGAACATCTACAGACCACACGAGTTTGCTTTCACGATACAGCTCTGGGAAAAGTCCGCGTCTGGTGGCTTCCCGGAGCACTCTTGCAGCCCGTGCTCTTTGACCCAACCACCAGAGTGCCTCTAAGACTGCATTATACAATCGTAGTGCAAGGCCACAACCTTCAGAGTTTAATCTGTCAAAGACATATTCCACCATTTGCCAGTTTGAATCGTCATCATAATCACCCTTGATCATTGATCCCATCACTTGATGTGTGTTGGAGAACCTATTTGTTTTCATTTCTTCAAGCAACTTGTTTGCATAATCCCACCTATGATGTGAATGGATTCATATTTCAATGAAGCAGAAAACGAAGGACTACATGATCAAATGAAGCAAACAAAGATACAAATTCTTGCAATGATTAAACTAAAGACCGTAGGGGCACAAATTTCAAAAAATTTGCCTTAAAAGAAATTTTAATTGGCAATAGTATTAACTGTCATCATCGTCATCTCCATTCAGCTTATGCCAGGACATATTTCTCCCAGCTATTAGCTGACCTGAAGATCCAACACTCCACAGGTTGTGTCAGTCACCAATTAGTAGGCATGGAAGAAAATACCCTGAACTAAGGGTTATAATGCCACCTAATCAGGGAAAAATTGACTTCATGCCAATATCCACAGGCCGAATTGCATTTTGAACTTATTCTTAATGAAGAATACAAAATCAAGTATCCATCCCCAACTCGGAATTCTACAAATAAAGTCCATCTGACCTTTCTGTTAGAGTCGCCCAACCCATATAGTCTGAAGTATTCAACAACTACGAATGGAAACAGCATAAACCAGTCTCCACACAAACACAAAACTCAACCCTTTAGAAAGCAGATAAACTTGATTTAAACATAAAAATAATTTTATGGCTACAACCATTTGATGAAAGCATGAAGATTAAGATTATTCCGTTAACCTCACCGTGGCATGAAAATGACGTGAAGCATGAAGATGTCTAGATAAAAAAAAGGTGAATAAAACGTGGGGGCCAACAGATATCGAAAGGCTAAGAGTTCCACTCTGTGCCTTGTTATTATACACGTAGGTTCAACAAATAGCATTTGCCCATTTCACATTACACGTTTCGTGATTTCTTTTAAATGTTTGCCACATTTTTCTGTTTCTCGGAATTATTTAAGCTCAAAAAACTACAGAATTTCTGACAGTCTCATGGCACTTTATAGAGGTTATATTTCGTCGTGGGCTGAATAAAATCATCATCATAGGAATTCTCATGGCCTAAATATAAGCTCGCAGTCGTCATATGACGGATTCATGTGTAGTAATTTGTAAGGGCAACTCTTATCATTCATAGAGTGGATTTATATATGTAGTGTGAAAGGTATTTCAATGACTATTTACTGTGTACTCGTCATGCATCTACAAGAACAAAATGCCGCTTATTTTCCCTGGAAACCTAGCACATAGTTATAGGATGCAAGGAAACAAGAATCTGACACACGGTTTTCCTGAATGGGTCATACTAAATAAGCTCACATCAAAAGCTGTAAATAAATGAACACACGAGGCTAGATGCATCAAGGAATCTGCTTTAAGGTAGCAAAATTACCTGTCGTTTTTAGCATATACTGACAGTAACAAGCAATATGCTATGACACTTGGCACAATGCCCAGTGACCGAATTTCCGAAAACAGCTCTCTGCTCTCTTCTATCAGTCCAGCGCTACAGTAAACATTCAGGACTCTCTCTAGCGTTTTTTCATCTGGTTTGACTCTTGAGTCCTGCATTTCTAGATAGGCCTTTAAAGCTTCCTCAAATTGCCCTCCTTGACAAAATGCCTCAATCAAACCATTGAACGTGCCCTCATCTTTTTGAATCCCCGCATCGTCCATCCGTGCTATGATTGCACGACCCTCTGTAAAAAGCCCACCACGAGCAAACGTGTGCACAAGGGAATTGTATGTCCCAATTGTTGGCAAGCTCCCAATTTCATGCATGGTGTTGAAAGCAACGATAGCTTCCTGAAAGAGGAGAAAGAAACCAGAGAATTATGGAATGGATAAACTCAAATGAATAATATGAGACTCCAAAGTAGAGATCATGGCTATTATCAGGAATAATGGTTGACCTCATACAGGGCTGCCTGCCCATAAGCTTCCACCACTCCACTGTAGACCTTCGAACTGGGCACAACACCTCTGTTGTTCATGTGGGAGAGTATTTTCTTCGCGTTTTCGTGGAGACCGCCCTTCCCACATGCAAACATGAGGCTCTCGTAGGTCTCCATGTTGGGTTCCACATTCTCCTCGACCATGTCATGGAACAGAGTTACGACCTCCTTGAAGTACCCTCCCTCCCCAAAGACCTGGATGAGGATGTTGTATGTGGAAGCATCGGGTTCAGTGCTTCCGACCTTCATCTCCAGGAAAAGCTCCCGGACATCATCATACTGTCCGCTCCTGCCGTACAGGTTAAGCAGAATGCTGTAGGTAGCTGCGTTGGGGGTACACCCAGCGGTCTGCATCTGGCGGAGCACCTCCACTGCCTCCCTGGCGGCGCCGCCCTCGGCATACGCCTCCATGAGCACGTTGTAACAGGCGGATTCGGGAACATTGCCGGCATCCTCCATCTCCCGGAGAAGGTCATTGACTCGGGAGAGACGGCCAAGCTTGCCGAAAGTCTCAACAAGGTAGGTGTGGGTAACAACGTCAGGAAGAATACCTGCCTCATTCATGGTGCGGAAGACCATCTCGGCCTCATTGTCCAGGCCTCGGCTGCCGCAGGCGGCGAGGAGGGTGTTGTAGGTGACGAGATCCGGGTGGACCCCTTCATGGCGCATCTGCCCGAACAGACCGAGAAGTGTGTCCCAGGAGACGTCGGTGGCGCGAGCGCAGGCATTGATGACAGTGTTGTAGGTAAGGACAGTGGGGGCAACGCTGTCGGGAGAACGCTTCATGCGCTTGAGAAGGTCGAGCGCGGTGGCGTGGTCGCCGTTGCGGCCGAAGGCGTTGATTAGGGCGGTGTAGGAGAGCGCGGAGCGGGGAACGGAGTGGGTGGGCATGTCGTGGTCGAAGATGTCGAGGCACTTCTCCAGGAGGCCCTCGCAGCCCAGCACACCGATGACGATGGCGTGGATGTGCTCGTTGGGGCGGCACCACGACTGGCGCTGCATGTACTTGAACAGGCGGAGAGAGCGCTGCCAGTCTCCGCGGCGGGCGAACTCCTTGAAGATGAGGGCGAAGTCGTTGAGCGAGAGGCGGTTCTTGAAGGATTCGAGACAGCGGGCGATGCTACCCCGGGGAGGGAGGCTGCTCAGCTTGTCGATAACCGTCTCCACCTCGTAGCTGTACTTTCCCTTCTCCACTCGCACGCTAGGGTTTCCGAGCACCAGCTCCTTGGGCTTCGACCTCGCCGCTGAGAATCCCCTACTTCCATTCCCCGTCGCCGCCGCCCTCGCCGCGACCTGGCTGGTGGCGCTACTACAGCTGCAGCAAAAGCCCCTATCCCCCCGCTCCCCCTCCCTGTTGCTCTCCCGGCGCTGCTGGCCGCTACCATTTCTGCCGTTTGGAATCTGCCTTCCACTCGATTCAAGATATGGGCGAGACAGATGGAAGCCCCGGAGATGACAGCGGAAGGGAGCCATGGAACTGTGGGAGTAAGAAGGAAGAGAGAAATGATGGGGCACTTTCACAGCGGAAGTGAAAGAGGCGGCGGACATGGCGCCGCTGCCGGAGGAGGACGACACAGGCGGAGGAGGAATGGAGAGCAGGTGAAGAGCCATATCTTCCCACCGCAGCAGCCCTCGCCTGCTCGCAGGGCTTTCCCCGGTGACCGAGGAGCCCGAGACCGCAGCACAGGGGGAGTCGCTAGCATCCACCCATACTCCCGGCGGCCGTAGCGGCGGCGGCGGCGGCGGCGGCGGACGGCCAAAGCGAGACGGAAGTCGAGCTCCTTGTCTCCCCGAAGATTTCTGTCTGACAGGGGATATCGAGCTGCCCAAGGGAACGCGCAACTGAGACTCTGGGACGTCCGATCTAGCCTCGGATCCTAAACCGATAACTCAGGAAGAGTGACGGGTCCATCCGGGACCCGCATGTGCTCGCTAGAGCCGTTTGACTCGGCGAAAAAGCTTATGACAATCTGATTTTCAAATAGCAGTTGAAATTGGATTTTTAGAATCGCCTTTGTTTGAGATGGATTCTGAGAAACAGACGCTCGTGTAGGCGGTCGTGTTTCCAAAAACTAGCCGAAAATCCGATTTGGAATTTTTAGGTTTTGTCCATCAAACCCCTGCAAAATCCTGAATTTGTTTTTCCCTACATTTTCTGTATATCATGCCGAACATAATTTACCACCATGAGTTGAAGTGAGCCATTAACAGACATAAGCATTGTGTGTCAATTGTTCCCCTGAAATGTAGTTATTTTATTTTATACCCCCATTGAGATATTAATTATGTCCCTACGAAAAGATTGGAGATTAACTGAGAATACCCTGTATCTCTGTATTATTATGGTGAAGCCACACGACGAAGCAAGTAGTTCCGAGTCAACTATTGACGACGGCGAGCGAGTCATGCTGAAGCTAACTCAGTGCGTGTCCCGGCCCGGGTCAAAAATTTCGCGAACCGGTGAGGAAACGGACAGAACCGGGCCTTGTTGCCTGGAACGAGATCTCATCGCTGGAGACAGGAGAGAGAAAAGAGGGATCGGAAGGAGAGAGGGGGAGAGAGAGGGAGAGAGAGAGAGAGAGAGAGAGAGTGGAGCTAGGAATGTGAGAGAGGGAAAGGGTGGGGAGAATCTTCTTCCTCTGCTTTCGTCTCTTCTCCGCTCACCGATATCTCTGCAGATGCTTCCGACCGCATCGAGAGGGCGCACGCCCTCCAGCCTGCGGCCCGCGTCTACCTTCTCCCATTACCTCCGCAGGATTGTGAAGGTTCGCCATCCATTCCGCCCCGCCCCCGTGCTCTCTGTTTTATTTTTCATTTGGTTCATCATTAATTATTGATTTGTCTCTCTCACTCACTCCTTCCCCTCTCTTCCTTTCTCTGTCTAGCATCATGTTATGTTCCTAATGATGCATTACTTCCTGCTAAGATGCTTCTTCAGTACTCATGTTTGCCTCACTTTGGAGCAGCGTGTTCCGGTAGAAAGCCACTCAAGACATGCTTTCTTATGTTTACTCTTACGAGAACGCAGAAAGATTTTGTTATTTTGCACCATCGTTCTGAAGTAACTTTGCTCTTCCTGTAGTTCTACAATTAGCTTCTTTCGATTTTGTGCTTATAGTGTATGAAGTATGCCATTTCCTGTGAGCATTAATTCTAAAATATCATAAGATAAACTAAAACGTAGAACAAGTAGCTGAAACAGGAAAAAACACGTTTACTAACAGCCCAAAGAAGCTTTAGTACTCATCTAAGGGCATCCTGACCTATCATTTATCATTGACGGAAGGAGAAAGAGGTTATCTCTGATCTTTATTCTTTGGAACTAGTGAACCACAAATGTTAGCCTCACGAATGATGTTCGCAATTTCTGACATTGTTTGAAATGTTTTATTAGCGCTCTCCCACAATGTGAGCCGGATAATTAATAGAATGACCTTCCACGGGTCAATCTACAGACACCTAAAGAAACTGTACCAGTATCTCAGTTGACGATGAAGCACTTGTTTGATAGTCTACCTGAAAGATTACTGTTCCTGATATTTGCTGAAAAATTGATATTTGCATGTTCTAAAAAGAGGTGACCAATGGTTTCTTTGTGAGAGGTGCTGAATGTGCGTGATGTTTAAATCAGAAATCTGAATTCTACCACAAGGTGATAACTTTTGTCCCCTCTCCAAATGAAAACTTTCACTCTGTGAGGAAGTTTTTGTACCAAATTTCACAGTTACCATATCATTCTTCCAAAGGAGCTAACATTAATTGCATTCCATCTCCTTGTATTTTTTGTCTTCCAATATATGACATAACTGAGGTCAATAATCTGTCCTCTATTCCCCATGCTCTTTGGTCGCCATTTGATTTTCAAACTTTCAGGTCGCAGAAATCAGCGATTTTATGGTCCATAAAATCTTTCTGCAACCTTTCTTCATGTTGCAGAAACTTCCAAGCATTATCTTCTTTGTTCTATGCACCCATCCTACATTTGTGCGTTGTTCAATTGAGCTTTTAAATTGACACAAATTGATAAAAAATATGGAAAATCATTATTTTTCTTGAAGTGATTGATATTGCAAATAAAATTGAGGAAATAAACTTCCATTCATTCCCAGAAGTAAAATATTTAGGCTTTGGCATTTTCCCCAACTCGCAGACCATGGTTGGCAATACCGTCTTGAGGGATGCTATCATGCAAGCAGGCAGTTGGGTAGCCAAAGCTTGAGTCTGTATTAATCTGGCATATAGTTGACTGAGTATTTGAGACATCATGCCAATGAATTAATACTGTCTACCTTACCAAAGAAAACAGCAACGAAGGACCAATAATAAATTGTAATCTTTTTTTTTGCTTCACTCCTGGAATTGTCTCTGTACTGTGCTAGCACCTTAAAATATCCATTCCCCTACCTTGAGGCATCTGGCTAAGCGTTACTGCTTTTTCTTATCTGCATTGTTAATTTTTCCAGAATTCATCATCATCTGCATGCTCTGTGCTTCTATCATTGCCTTACGAGAGCTACTTGTTGACCCGAGTTCAGAATAAAAGAGTGATTGAATCTTTGTGTGAGCTCATCCTCCTTTGTATCGCCCATCGACATTTTGTCTATCATTCCTTTAAAAATGTGCCACAGACATTTTCTACCCCGCCATCTCCTTCTCCCACCTCTCACTACTTGTTACTTCTGCATTATCCAAATTCGACTTCCCCTGTTCTTCATCAAGATGCACAAATCTTATAAATCCAGGGTTCTTAGTGTTGCTCTTGCAAGAAGCCTCCCTCGGTGCTTGAACAATGCTCTTATCTTCTCCCAAATAGCTCATTGTCCCTCTGTTATACTACAGTTACAGATCAATTTTCTTGGATTAAAACACTTTGTTGCGGTCCTGAGTTGCTGGAAAATGACGCCTAATTGCTCCACATTGCCATAGTCTGTAACAACACGCATGTCCTGTTCCTGCACAGGATGAATCCACGATAACTTATCCAACCAAATGGGAGAGAAATCTGCCTAAGTGACGTAACTGGAGCTAAATATCAGTAAGAAGAGGAAGGATGTCAAACAATGGTGCGAAAACAGAATGGGGACGGTAACGCCAACAACATCAACCAAAAACAAGTCATATAAATCTCGTACGAGGCCCTTATGATATACTAAGTGCCATTGGAAAGAGAAGATCCCTTCTTAATCCTCAGCCTCAACAAGTTCAGCTCCTACCTGATTCATTTGGTTCTCGATTTAGTCTGTCTGATCGGAATAGTCACATCAAGTTTTAATTTTAGAGCATTGCCATATCTAAATTTTATATCCAGAGCTAATGCCTGAGCGTGCCAAAAGTTGCAGAGTGCTTGATAAGTTAATTACATAAACATTCAGATTGTTCTGTGACACAAAGTCTTCGTATTTCATAAACATTCAGATTGTTGGTTGCCATTTCAATTAAGCTTCGTATTTCATATTTATTATCTCATTTTTTTGTGTTCACTACAGTGGCAGCAAATGGATATTGAGTACACGTTCTGGCAAATGCTTCACCTCTGTATGTCTCCGAAAGTGGTGTATGTACCCCTACACTTCTTCACTTTTGTTATCACTTTTTAGTCAGTCTTTTTAAACCATTTTAAGTATGAAACTGCTACTATGGTAGATTATTATTAAAGAAACCATTTTTTGGAGACTATAATTTGGAGGAATGTTAAAGAAAAACGGTGTTACAAACCAAGCAACTAAGTCTCCAGGTCTAGTTGCATGGATCCTATTTTTATTCGGTAGGATACAGCTGTCCACCAGTGTGTACTGCTATGTCTATTTATTAGTTACACAGGGGTTAAATCAGTTATGCTAATGAGTTGTAGTTGCGACTACTTTGAAGTTCCGTGCAAATATTTTTGCAATTAACTTGTGTCGAAAATCAATACCATGTTTATCAAATGTTAACTTTAAATTCATTCATTTTTTTATTTTTTAAAAAGAGTTTCCGTTTAAAATGCATATCCCAAATAATTTTTCCTGCATCTTCTTTGTAGGTTACGGTTCAATCCCAATTTTTTTTAATGTTTTCTTAAATTTCCTAAATACGTTCAAAATCTTCTTCAAAAATTATTTATTTAAATTTCACTTAAGAAATGAATAGAAAAGGGAAGTTGATGCATGGATTTCTCTAAAATGATTAGAATTTGATTTCGAACGGTTACCTTGCCTTAATCTACTTAGTGGTCTTTCCTCCTGCCAAGTTTGTGCAGAAATCGTTGAAGCAGTACATCCACCATTATGCTTCTTGATTTGCTTGACTTAAAAATTAAAATGTGGGATTTGTGTTTGCAACAAGAGTAAAAGGTTCAGATGCCATTCTTTGTTCCTTACAGTCAAATGGAACCCTCTACGTGTTTTCTACTTCAACTGGTTTTAAAAAAGTGAACTTTTCTGGAGGTGAATTACGTCAACTTGCACTTCAATATCTGTTGAATCACATTGACTTAGTGTAATCTGTTTTCCCTGGCTTTGGATGAACTAATGCAAGTCCTTGCTAGGGCACCCCTAAATTTATCTCACATGGATGTGTGAAGCCAAATCAGTGTGAGGTGGGGAACAACTCTGTCAAGGATTGGATCTGCTTTTATTCTTGAAAACCATGTAGCCATCAATTTCAAACACGCATGTATGTAAGGGGGTTTTATGTATTAAATCCCTTTCTATATCCGTAGCTAAATTGAGTCCACCATCTTGAGGAAATCAGCATTACATGAGAAGATGACCCTCTAAATACATGAGGCTAGAGTAAGCTGACCTGAGATGTTAAGTCACTTTTAATCCCAAAATCTTGTATCCGTGTTACAAGCTTGCATGATAAACAATTGCCCGGACATCCCAGTTCGCCTTAGAGGGATATATCTGATACACTTGGGTTTTATTTCATTTTTAAATGTCAATTAGCTAGTTCACTCGGAGTTTATAGCTTCCAGTGTATATCTAGATACAGTTTCTTCATGAACAATGCAGCTGTATAAAATTTTCATTGGAAGCAGGATTTACATGGAAGTGCCATTCTGAGGTTCTCACTATGATTTCCTCAGATTTATCTGTCTTGAAACATGATTAATATCTGATGCAAGGTTTATGACATATTTCCCTGTAGTAAACGTTAGTGTTTCATAAAATTTGATTGGTTGCTGCACCATGATAATATTACATGGGAGCAAAGTTTCTTGTTTGGCCCATTATAGGCTAACATTTACAAAAGTCAGAGGTCCATGAATATTCATAATAAAGTAAATTGTTGTAAAAAAATGTGATAACTTGGAGCATCATGTTATTATGCCGAGGAACTGAAGTGATCATGTGTAGCTTGATTCGTATATTGTAGTGTGACTGTTGAAGTTGTTCTGATTTAATAGGCTATCTGCTCACTTTTTGTAGAGTTCAAACGAAGACAGGAAAGTAGCTTAATGCTTATATGGATCTTATTCTTCCGTTCTCTACCTTTTTTCCCCTATGTTTTCTCTTATGAGCCTTTAAGCAACAAATAGATATATTTGACTAGTTGCTAATTTGTCTATCATGGGTGTCATGTTGGCCATCTAATTTAAAACATTACACCAGTGGGTCATACTTTGGATCATATTTACCTACCACTACATGGTGGAGAATATCAGAACAAGGGTTTATGCTACTTTTATCTTGTCCAATGTGAGTTGGATGTATGCATTTTTGTAAATAAATTGTCTACACTCAGAATTTTTTTAATGTTTAATTGTATTATAGTTGAGTGTTTATGGTCAAATCAATCCGTACATTTTTCTTAGGAATAAAGGGATCGGTTGGTTTTAGCTTATTTATCTATCCCTACATGCTTAATGAAGGTTATTTTTATTCATTTTTATTTTAATGACAAAGTTTGATTACTATCTTATCGAAATTTCTAGCTTATTTATCTATCCCTACATGCTTAATGAAGGTTATTTTTATTCATTTTTATTTTAATGACAAAGTTTGATTACTATCTTATCGAAATTTCTCTTACTAATTACATGTTCTGCTAAACCGTGGAATTCAGCTATCAGCATACAAAGTATCACAAGCGTAAGTTAGTCATCTCCAGTTTCAGAAAGATAGTTATACATTTCTAACCATGATGTTCTAGATGCTTCAATATAACATCCTGAATTTAGTTGTGTAAAAATTCTAGGTCTAGCATTTATCATCTTTGTTGTCATGCTATTTTCATCTGTCTTGTTATTGATCCCCATCAATTAGTATTTTTTTTCTAACAAAACTCCTGCATTGAAGCTAGCCCAGTTATTTGTGAATATGCTTATGAGAGTATGCAACCTGCATAAAATGTTTGAACAATCATAATAGATATTTGGTACAGTGAGTGGGCCTCTTGATAATATAGCAAATTAATGCTAAATAAAATTAAAATAAGAAAACTGTGTCACAATTATCATAAAGATTGTTTCTACGTTTAGGGCGGCTGAATTTTTTGCTTTTTACCTAATAACGCCATCATAGTTGCCAACTCCACTCTATCACTGGAATCCCGACAGAGAAACTGCAAAAGGAAGAGAGGAAAGGAGTTTAGCTTTTCCATTCATGAATGATTATAGTCACTTTGCACCATCAGTTGCTAATTATCCACCCTTGCTCTTGTCTATCTCCAAGTTCCTCCTATATGGGAATAGTATGTCAGGAGGGGTCACTTTCCATAGTCAATGGTGGGGGTAGAGTTCTTTTGTCGTTTTTATCTTATCCCCACCAACACTTGTGTAGGATTTTGTCATTATCCAGCAGCGAAGAGTAGTGCTCTCATATTTTATGTGAAGTCAACATGAAAGCGACAGAAAGCCATCTTCCTTGATTCTTCATTGTTTTTTAAGACCTTGGGTTATCAATGCTTGCTCCTTTTTGGTCTCAGAAACAAAGAACCAGTGGGCACGAGATGATCCTGCGTTTGTTGTGATCTTTAGCGTCTTTTTGGTTATTGCAACTACAGCGTACTGTGCTGCGTGAGTTTCTGGAGTCTTTATTCATTTTCATTTTTTTGAAAATTTTCAATTAGCTTCCCCAGGATATATTAAATGAGGAGCAGTACATTCTTTCCTGACCTTCTTCTATGAACTCCAGATATTCTGAAAGTGCAGGCCATGCTAGTCTTACAGTTATTTCTGTGGTTATTCTACATTTCTTTGTGGTCGGTGGAGGTTTGGCTACATGCTTTTGGTAAGACTATTGTCAAGATCCATCATCACCAATCGTGTATCATTCCAATTTTAGTAATTAGTTTTACTTGGATGCAAATTGAAAAGCTTTTTATGTAGTGTAGATTGGGCCCACTTTTTATTTCAACTGCTGTTGGGATTTAATTTCGACTCTTTTTTTCAATTGGTAAGTTACGGTGTGACAGACGGTTTAGGCTAAAGTCAAGGAATTGTTATTCGAGTCGTTGCACTGACGCATTGGGATGGACTCTGTCATAGTCATATTTGAAAGTTGTCTATTCGTGGTCTTCTTTCTGATCTCATCTTTATTTTACTCAGGGAAGATTTCTGACCTCCATTGTCAGTGCAGTTACTCTTTTTCGCGTTTAAGTTACCACCCAGTTCATAGTTGAGATTAATTAAACGATAAAATGGCCCACCTATTTCTTCTTTTCTATTGGTTTGATGTCCCTAAGTATCCTTAACGTGAATTGTCCATCATGGAGAGAACCAGATGTGTGGATGGTGGTTGATAGACCAGAGTATCTCACAGATACTCTTCAGTGCACAGAGTATCTCACAGATAGAGATGTTTTCATTTTTTTTTATTTATGTTAAAGTTTACAGAATGTCATCAGATTATCTTACCTGAGGATAAAGTTGAGATTATGTACATTGTAGACACTCATTAATTGCATTTTCCCATGGAGTCTTTCTCACCTGGCCACACTGGTTACCCTAAGAATTATAGGTAACGCAAGAATTATGGGTAACATGGTTGAGATGATGCAAAATTGATTGGGATTAGTTATTGTGCCTTTGGAAGAACTGAGTGGTGAAGGCTCTACTACGAACTGCACATGATAACTTTTCTTGTAATTATCTTTTAAAGCTAGTTGTTTAACCGATACTTTTTTTTCTCACTCATGTCTGTTCATTTGCATCAACTTACTTAAACAAATCATTGTCTGTCCCAATTATCCTCATACAAGGGGAGAAAATAGAAAAAAATCACACTGGAGCACCCCTTAGTTCCCTAGAAAACTAAATAGTAGCCCAATTTTCTACTCCATCTAGGAAATTTTCTATGTTGTTCCTCACCTCCTTATGGGCCATTGATATGCTCCATAATCTTCATCATATCCGTAGAATTCATCCCCTGAACATCTGTTCCATCAACATCAATAAGTTATGTTAGGTATACTGTTAAAAAAAAACGTTTAGTAAACATTATCTCTGTTGATAGTTAATACTTTTGGAAGCCATCCTGGGTCTATTGTCCATCAGAATGGCCAACGTTGGGTTTATTCATACTGTTAAAATATGTACAATTGATTGCATCTTATTCATGAAAGTCGTCTGAAATAATTACTTTTTTGTAGTCTACATTTTATTTTTTTAATTAACTATAATTTCCACGTTTTCTGTTCCTCAATACCACCGCTTTTTTGAAAGTGACACCACTAATTACTGCTTATACTTCTTATGTTTGTTGTTTTGACTAGGTTCTTGACAAATTCTTATCTTCGTGAGGAGTCTCCAAATAGTCATGTCGTTGAACAGCGTGTTGAATGGTGAGTTATCAGACATCTTTGCATTGCTAATAGTAGATGTAATATTTCAATTTCATGCGTACACATATATTGATGGTTCATTTAGTTGCAACTTTGTCTTGCAATTTCACATGAGGTTTAATTATCTTTTGTTGAATCTTTTATCTTGCATTCGAAATAACGTTCAATTTTTTCTTAGCTCTGGATGCGATTTAATTCAAAACGAACATGTTAAGGATATTCCGAGTGATGTTACCTTGAAACCAATGGAGACATTACAGAATTTAATCCATATCCTGTCACGAGTTGAATACAAGACATCAATTGATGATGCAACTCATGGAAGATCACTAGTGTTCCAAAACCCTAATTGAACTCCTAAGCCCTCTTTGCATGCGACATACCTTTCAATCTCTCCTATTAAATTGACGATATTCTGATGTTTACGACTCCTCAAGGCAAAGAATGAAGATCAATGCCTCGTTTATACTTTTGTTTTAATAATATTTTCTACCTAGTTATTATATAACAAAGCTTTGAAATGCATATAAAAATATGATAAACAATACTTGGTCTCAGTAACGAGCAGTAGAGACGATGATGGTGCTTACTGGAGGTGCATAAATGTGCACAATTTCTATATGATATTTAAATATAAGAAATTAGAATGTTCTAATGATCACCTGTTCTTTATCCATATTACCTCATAAAAATCATCCACCCTCGACCTCTTCTCTTAGAAATTCAGCCTCTCACATTACAAACCCGTGTAGAGGGAGATTCAGTGAAGGAGACCCATCTCACAACTTTCAATGACTCCCACGTGGCTTCCTAATACAATGGATAATTACTTTGAAAATTAATCTCATCAAGACCATGTTTTCTTGGCAATGCAGCATGGTTTTCTCTCTGCTGTTTCGTATGATTCAAAATGGCTTAATCCTCAGAATGGGCTTTGACCACCAAATCCCTTTGAACATTCTAAGTTGAATCTGCGAGTTCAAGAGTATCTTTCTTAAACATATGCTCACGTGAGTCGGAGTCAATCCAGCTGGGGTTGACAGATTTCGAGCAGGTATTGGTGCGATCGGCCTCGCCTCGCCCCTTTCAAGGGTGTTGGATTCCATATATGGCATCAAACCAGCCAACTTGTTCTAGCGTATGGATCCCCATGAAAGCAAATTTTACTAAGACCATCGTTGTTTATGTCTCAACTCCCACCGTCTTCCATTCCCAACTGAGCTACTATGCGGTTGACTTTTCTTTTCTTCTCTTCCTCTTGCTCACAGGCTGTACGCATTCGACGTCCACTGCAATTCCTACTTCCCAGCGTTCATTCTTCTCTACGGTAACCACGTTGACCTCCCCAGCTGCAGCAGAAATGGTCCGGCGGCAGACCCCCTCACTGACCAGCTGATTCTTCTACAGTGCTTCAGTACTTTGTGTCCCCAGTGCTAGTCGCCCATGGCTTCTTCCCTCTTCTTCTGTCGAATCTCCTCTACATGGTGGCTTTCTCTTACTACAACTACCTCAACTTCCTCGGCTATGATGGTAAGAAGCCCACTTCCCTCTGGCTTTCCTCCGCATATCATCCTTAAAATCTTTTTAATTGCAGTTCTGCCCTTTCTGGAGAAGACCACTCTGTTCTTGTACCCCATTGGTCTGGTCATAGTCCTCTGCCCTCTCAGTGAGTCCAAAGGCCCTCGTGTGTTTCCATTATTAGAACTTTTCTTCTCGCTGTAACTCTGGCTCTCTTCTCTGCAGTGATCCTCGCCCGCTTCAACCCGACCAGGTATCTCATGGGCCTCTACTTCGGCTGGAGACCCTGAAGGGCGGCTGAGGTACGAGCATCACGCTTTCAGATCTCTCCGTTGACGGACTGGTCCTGGGCTAATTCCTCTTCAGTATGAATTATGTGGATTGTCTAAGCATAGTTAGAGATGCCAAGGCGAATGCATGGAAGATTAGACCAAACCCCATTTGATGGAATAATTTAGAAGAGATTGGAAATGTGGAAGAGGAACTGAGATAACTAGGCGCATATAGATGAAACTTATAACATTAGGGGCCAAACTATGCATACAATATTTCCACGTAGTCATAGACATCTAGGCAAGCATTGAAAGATGGAAAGAGTAGAAGTGGACGGAAATTATTGTCACTAAACTATAGTCACTATCACTTATTTAATAAACAAGATGTGATCAAACTACTATCAAGTATCAAAACCAGATGTGTTATTGCTTCTTACATAATATTTGTTTCCTAGGATATGTTTGATTCTTAGACCACATTATAAAAATAAACTCGGTCCTTGATCAATTAGAGATGAGATGCATTTCTTAGATATCCACTTACTTGCAAAGAATATAAATGTCTTGATCCACTAAAGGCATACCAAGAGGATAAGAACAATAATATCTTAAAAAAAAGAGAGGAATAGGTATAGAATACCTATGGCAGTTGACTTTTAACAGTTATGGCCAGCATAGAAAGGGGGGAATAAGAAATGGGTCAATATTATTGCTTCTTACATAATATTTGTTTCCTATTATATTATTGATTCTTAGACCACATGATAAAAATAAACTCGGTCCTTGATCAATTAGAGATGTATTTATTAGATATTCACCTATTTGAAAACAATAGAAATCCCTTATTGAGTCTTAATTCTTCTACCATCATAAGTCTTCGACTCAAGGAGAGTGGAAGAGGAAATGTATCCCACTGAACAATAACATCTTTCTTAGGAAAAAATGGGAGGAATAGGTGTGCAATACCTATTGCAGTTGACTTTTTAACATTTATGGGCAGTATAGAAAAGGGGGGAGAAGAAATGGGTCAATGTTATTGCTTCTTGCATAAGATTTGTTTCCTAAGATATTATTGATTCTTAGGCTACATGGTAAAAATAAACTTGGTCTTCGATCAATTAAAGATGTATTTCTTAGATATTCACCTACTTGAAAATAATATTAATGCAAATACATCTGACTCAAGGAGAGAATTATCATGATCCAATGAGGAGAGGGATACATACCAAGAGGATAAGAACAATGTTATACTAGGAAAAAATGGGAGAAATAGGTGTACAATACCTATTGCCGTTGACTTTTAACATCTATGGGTAGCATAGAAAAGGTGGAAGAGGAAATGGGTCAATTTTGCTCCCCCCCTTTCATATCCACGAATGGTGAAGCAAGAGAAGACAACATCATGGTAAGGTTATCTAGTTCTACGCTAAACCTAGAACCTTACAAATGGCATAAGAAAGAGAGAGAGAAGGGCCAGTAGATCCCGGACTGCTCATTGGGCTCCACTCCGCCGGCATGCGGAAAACCAGGAGGCCAGGTGCCTGCCATTCAGATCCCCTATCTCTTCTCCTCACCCCGCAAAGCCACTGCCGGCTGCTATCTGCTCTCACCTCTGCAACGTAGCGCTCAGTCAAGTAGTAGTGGCGCAAGCAGAATGAGTGATCAAACGCCAACTAGCTCTTCTGAATACTCCATCTGATTTTTACGATTCGAAAGCCGTAAAATAACTGGGGGGGCAAAAATAATAAATAGAGGAAGAGTCTGTTAAATAATGTCGGCTGAAATGTATTTCTCTCAGAGGTTAGTGATTTTGCTTTATGTTGTTATATTGGAAATTGTTAACTATTAGAGGGTTACTCGTCTGATCCTATAGTTTGAGGATTATTATTTTTGGCATATTCTTAAAGACATGCACCGTAGCATACACTAGTATGGTTTTTTCAACCCAGAACAATAACTCTCTCTCTCTCTCTCTCTACCTGTGGCTTCGTGTACCCAACCTAGATTCTCGTTTGTCGGGCCTTGGACCTCAAAATTGGGCCAGTAAAGGAATACAAAACCGATGGGCCGAAGCCTGGAAGCCGTTCATTCATTACCCGCCATCCCTGTGGCCAGCTGCACCTCCTGATGAGGGAAAAACAAATAAAGCCCACCAGGTTCCTCCAGGCCCACAAAACGGCGTTGGCAAGACCGGCCCACCAATGGCCTTGAAATCATCAGAGCCTAGAGAGAGAAAGTCTTACATGGGCGCTTTTCTCAGTCGATCTTGGGCTTCCGGTCTCTTCCCTCGTTAAATAAGTGGGTCCCACCCTACGACGGCCGGCTACGCGTTGATATCATCCAGATATGGAGTATCCGTTAAGAGTCTTCCATTATTTCAGTAAAGTCGTATGCATTCTTTCATTAGAGTTTTATACTATTTTCAGGATGGAGATGGGTCTTCTGATGGCGAAATTGTTTCATCATCTGAACCAGGCCCAGAAAGGAATCCAGTTCACAATGAAATGAAAACAAGCTCAGATTGGCCTTCTTTCCCCAGTAATCTCTCTCAAGGATGGTCAATATGGGTTGGACTTCTGCGATGAGTCAACTCTCCAGTTTGAAACAGGGGACTAATATTTATATGCCCTTGTAAAGATCATGGAAGGACATTAAGAAGAAGTATCACACAATAATCTTACCCATTTCATTCTCTCTCTCTCTCTCTCTCTCTCTCTCTCTCTCTCTGTGTTATCCAAAACCGAAGAGGCAACAAATGTTAAGAGTGGAGAGGATGATAGTCATTTCCCTAGCTCAACGCCCTTTGAGTCATAAAAGGACAAGTAGCAGGGCCTGATGAACGTACGCAGAAGTAGCACGAACTGGTGCGGACAGCACGGCACGTACAAGGCGGATGGCATGGCGTGCCTTGGACGTGGACGGTATAGTATCCATGAACATTTGTTTACTTGGTAGTGACGTGATTCGAGATCCTTTTATATTGGGTCCAAACTTAGATCACATACACATCAACTTGAAGATCCACTAACTAGATCTATTTTACACTTTATTCAGGCCCAATAATTACATCCAATATGCCTTGGATCCAAGCTCAATAATTTGATTTATTGTGAATTAGAACGTCCTCGTGTTGCAGAGGAAATTAGGTAGAAGTATCACGCAACAATCTTACCATTTTATTCCCCCTCTATCTCTCTCTTTCTCTCTCCTAACCAAAACTGAAGAGACAACAAATGTTAAGAGTGGAGAGGATGGTAGTCATCTCCCCAACTCAACTCTGAGAGCTTATTCCCTCTCTCCCATGCTTTCTTAAGTTCATGTTCATGTTCATGTTCATGTTCCGTGGCCAGCCCTTTCCCCTTTTCCCTAAGCGCTGGAGGCACAAGAGAGACACAAGGAATCATCCCAAGGGAGGTGCCTGAGTCAGTGTTCCCTTGTATCTCCGAGACCATCGAGTCGCCAAGTTACCATTGGGACTGCCCCTGCATGCTGCGCCACCTGTTGCACTTCTCATTGTGTGGATCAGCATCCCTGCCCTATGCGCTTACCTATTCCCTCTACATCTTGCGCGCATGTACTACCCTTGCGGCGAATGTCCACGTGCGCCGTGCCTTCTGTCTGTGTCGTCCCGCCTACACACGCCGTGCCGCTTGCACATGCCATACTGCTTGTTCGACTCGTGCTGCCTGCGCATGCACTGTGCTGTCTACACGCGTTGTGTCGCTTGTGCGTGCGGTACCGCTTGTGCCTGCACCCACCGTGACGTCCACGCCCACTCGTACCGTACTTTTCACGTCCACACGTGTCATGTGTCGTGCCATCCGTACCTGTGCACGCCATCTGTCCAGTGTATGGGCATCGTGCCGTCCCTTGTGTAGGTTCTTTAGGCCCTACTTGTGACACAAAGGGGTTGAGCTCTGGAAACGACTACCATTCTCTCCACTCTTGACATTTGTTGCCTCTTCAGTTTTGGTTAAGACGGGGAGACACGAAGAAGAGGAACGAAAAGGTAAGATTATTATATGATACTTCTCCCTAGTTTCTTTCCATGATCTTGACAAGGGTATATAAAATCTTAATCCTTTGTTTTAAACCAGAGAGTTCACTCTTCGGGAAAGGATTGATGATGGTCGATACGGGTGGGTCTACAATCGAACCTATGTTTTGGGCTCTCTCACGTGAATAGGGTGGGGGGATGCTCTGCCCATAAGCAATCATCTGCTCTGATATCACGTAAGAGGTATCGGAGCGTGAATGGAGAAGGCCATTCTTAATATTCACGCGTTTATCACTCTAATAACAAAATGAGATTATTCACTTGTTTCAGATCTAATGCCCTTTAATTTACAAATTGAATTGATGAAGTTCCAAGAAGTTGAAATAAAAGTCAGAGATTAAACTGCCGTTGACTTTTGTGTAGCAAGCCATTGTGGCGGTGATGGTATCGAGGAACCCAGAAAGATTATACTCTACATATGTCGACAAGAGCAGAACTCCAACAAAAAGGAAGGAGATGTGGGAAGGAAATCGGATGTAGTTATAGAGGTCTCCCCTCAGCAAATACCTGCGAACAGCCTTGAATGTGTCTCCAAGTCACGATGCCGATCTTCTGTCATTGAGTAGAAGGAAACGTGCAGATTTTTAAGGTGCCTCTCATCATGAACAAATGGGGTGAGAAATTTTAGAGGAGCAAAAAAGTTAGTTACAGGTTGGAGTGATTTTCCTGAAAGTTGATAATGTTGTGGCTTTTGCTCTGAAGTAGAAAACAAAGCAAAAAAGCTTACAAATTTCTTACTATTTTTGTACTTATGTCGATAAATGTTTCAAATTTATTATGATTGATGTGCCAGAGGTACTGAAAGGATTTAGAATCTCTAAATAATTTTCCTCTATGGTAAATACTTTTAAAAATTCAGTTTGTTCTCAATCTTTGTGTCAGTGGTGTTTTCAATCTTTTCTATCAATTTTGCCTGAAGTCTTTGAAAGCCTTAAAATTTCTTAATAGTTTTGCACAAAAAACAAGATCAGCTTCAAAGTATAAATTTGATTGTCTCTAATATAAAATCAAAGGAAGCCGTCAGAATTTTCTTGCACATTATAAGTTTTCACAAGTAAGCCAATCTATAATCCGACACTCAATCATGCAGTGGGGACTGCAAAAAATGGGCATTGAGAAGATGAAAACCCCGTGAAGAGTTGCCCCAAGTTCCATTGGTTTCTGTTTTCTGGTCCAAAGCGGATATAGGAAGCCTGGGTAGATACCAAGCCCAATCTTCCAGAATCAGCATCACCTGGGGTGAAACAAAAAAATTTCCAAGAGTCAGAAATCTTGTTTACCCATTATTACCCATCAGTTCAAAAGTGGACAATATAACTATCTAACAGTGTCTTGAAGGCCATAGCTATGATCCTGGCCAGCATATAATTTAATTTAGTAGCTAGTTAACAATATCTCTTTTTACGGACGAATGAAGTTGTGAAAGTGCTAAATTCACTTCACATCGTACATTTCTCCAAGTTGAATGATAAATCATTTGATGTGTTATCATGCTACTAGTGACATTGAGGTGAGTGCGATGAGACATAGAGGTTAGTCTAGTTCCCAATCCATGGAAAACCTGAATTGGGTTTAAAGCATATTAAGGAAAAGAGAAACAATGTAACCTATTATACGACATACATATGATTGATAAAGAAAAAAAGTTTGGAGCATAACCTCATTTTGGTCTCACTTCCACACCACTGACTTTGAATGGTAATGGTGGAGACAGTGCTGGCTGATGACAATAATCTGCAGCTTCTATAATAAGTCAACTTATCTTATTTACCATCACTGGGGGAGGGAAGAGGATCTTGGTGCTGCTGTCATGCTTGTGGTATTGAGCATTTTACTTTACGAGAAAAAACTCTTCCATTTAGACACAATCTAGACTTGGGATCAACCAAACAACTGACAGCATGTTTCATAGACTTCCACTGAGCAAGATGTAGTCCGAGGAAGAGAATTTCTGCTGTATATGTGGAGCATCACCAGCCTTGACGGGGGCGAGGAGAAGAGGAGATGTAGGGTCGTGAACACGGACGGGGGGGAGATCTATGAAAAAAACGAGGACGCCAAGATGTTGTTAGTGAAAACATTTTACATAGTAAGTATCTCGGTGTCGCACGAAGCTTCTTCCTCATCATGCGGTGACCCTTTGCGAGTGTCTAATACGAGAGCTGTTTTAGTTCTTCAAGAAATAAGTCTAATATGATTATTGTGTGATGAGGTTTGCACGAAAGTCAACTTTAGTAAATTTTTCTACTAACCCTCTGATTGGTTGATTTTTTCTCTCAAAAAAAACTTTATTTAGCAGCTATAAGCTCTCAGCTAAGCTACCGAGATGCGATTTTCATTCGCTCACGTCTGGTAGGCTTTATCTCATTTCCTTGAATAGGGTACTCTTCTGAGTTGACTGAACTTATAAGGCGAGTTGAAGAACATGAACATCCCCAACCTCCCATGCCTCCCTCAGATATAGCCAACGGGCACCTGGGCTTGACCAAAGCATTCATACTATTTAACGCTGACTTTTGTGCAGTATGAGATATCACGATGCCGATGCAAGGGATTGAAGGAGAAGACGACTAGCAACTCCTCACCAGATCGAAGCGTAGCAATTAGACGGCCGTCATTCCCTAATAAGAAAAAACGCCTTCCAAATCGGAACCTAAACCTGGAAATAACGAGATACATCTGACCCGTTTCTCCTAACCAATCGTGGAGTCTCAAGATTGCCTCGAGGCGGCGGTCACGTCGGAGATCCCACGCACTTCACCCGCAACGAGATCATCCAATCAGAAACATTCCCTCTGGCTTGGTGGATAGGTGGTTGGACTCCGTGAAAAGCGGCGGAGGTTTTGCGTCGAACATGAACCCCCCCACCCGCCGTCCCCCTGTTGGTGGGATATGAATCTGTTCGTAAGATATGGGCCTAGTTCTGCGGTAACGGTGGCCTCCGAGATATGCGTAAATGATGAAAACCGTATAATTCCGCGTTATATATAGATGAACACCGGGTGGTCGGTCCCCTGGCTCCTCCCTACTGCAGATCATCCCATGTCTCCTCTCATCCGCATCTCTTTCTTTCTCGTTCTCTTCTCCTTCATCGTTTCTGATCGTGTAGGGCCATCGGCAGCGGCGGATGCTAGTAGTGTTAGAAATCTGGGGGATTACAAGAGAATCCCCTTAACATCAGTGAGCGGGCCAGAAAGCCTCGCTTTCGACGCCGGCGGCGCCGGCCCTTACACCGGCGTCTCCAACGGGCAGGTGCTCAGGTGGGAGGAGGGCTCTCGCCGGTGGGTGGAGTATGCCGTCCCCACTCGAGATAGGTAGACATTCTTCCTTGAACTCGCGCTCTAATCCGTAATCATTTATGTCTATCTTCATTCATCGTTTCCTCCCCATCTCTTTGGACGTTGGATGTTTTCGCAGGAACCGAACCCAGTGCGACGGCTCGGCCGTCCCCGCGGTGGAGGACGTCTGCGGAAGACCTCTCGGGATTCAGTTCCACCGCGAGACGGGGAAGCTCTATGTGGCAGATGCCTACTTCGGGCTCCTGGCTGTGGAGCCCGGCGGTGGGGCGGCGGCGCGGCTCTCCGCCGGCGTGGAGGGTCAACCTTTCAAGTTAACAAATGGAGTAGACGTGGACCAGGAGACGGGCGTCGTGTACTTCACCGACAGCAGCACCCGGTTCCAGAGAAGGTCTGCGTGCGGCGGCCTCTTGCAATCCAATGCTGTCTCGCACCTGTTTCTCCGGCAAAGAAGACCTGTTGTTTTTCTATGTTACTACTACAAAGAATATGTATATATTCGTGTCTTCTGGATCTTCAGGGACTGGATGCTCTCCATCGCGACGCGGGACGCCACGGGAAGGTTCATGAGATACGACCCGGCAACGAAGCAGACGGTGGTGCTGCTGAGAGGGCTCCAGTTCCCCAACGGCGTCGCGGTCAGCAGCGGCGGCGACTTCGTCCTCGTCGCGGAGACGACGAAGCAGAGGGTCCTGAGATTCTGGGTGAAGGGTCCCAAGGCGGGCGGCTCGGAGGTGTTCGCGCAGCTCCCCTGGTCGCCGGACAACGTGAAGGCGAACGGGGAGGGGGAGTTCTGGGTGGCCGTGACGTCGCCGGCGAGGAATGTGGTGGGAGTGAAGCTCGACGGGCAGGGGAGGACCACGCAGGTGCTGCGCCGCAGAAGCCCCTCGGGAACGGTCAGCGAGGTCCAAGAGATCAACGGCACGCTGTGGCTGGGGTCCGTGGAGAGCTCTTTCGTCGCCGTCTATAGTAGACCGTCGTCATCTCCGTCTCCGTCTTTCCCTCCCTCCGCGTCTTCCTCTTCTCTGCCTCCCACCAGTCTTCCTCGTTCTCTCTAGGTTTCTTTTTTTTATTTTTTTTTCAGGATTTCTTAAACGCGTTAGATCTGCACCCACTAGTCTTTAGGAAATTCCCTAGTTGACTCCCTTCGTCGTTTGCAACTCTGTTGTAGATCAATTTTTTTCCGCAGATCAATGGCTCTCTCTCTCTCTCTCTCGCTCTCTCTCTATCAATTTATCTATCTATTTATCTCTCTCTCTCTCTCTCGCTCGCTCTCTCTCTCTTTATCTTGCTCTCTCGCCCTCTCCACCCTTATCTCGCTCTCTCGTTCTCTCTCTTTATCCGCTCTCTCGCTCTGTCGCTCTCTCTCTCTCTCTCTCTCTCTCTCGCTATCTATCTGTCTATCTAAACTATCTATATATCTATCTAGCTAGCTAGCTAGCTAGCCTATCTCTCTCTCTCGCTATCTATCTGTCTATCTAAACTATCTATATATCTATCTATCTAGCTAGCTAGCTAGCCTACTTGTCTTCTATCTCTAACGGGATTATAACAGTCAACATCAGGGCCCACATTGCGGTGGTTGTTCAAAGTCTCTCTCTATGGCACAATTGAGTAAGAAAACTTCCTACGAGGGCCGACAGGTAAATAATTAAAACTCAGTTTCCTTTACGAAAACGGAAAAACCCATTTTATTGATAACAAGTCAAACTAAAGAGGCATATAATTTGGACTCATAAAATAAAATCCAAAAAAAAAAGAAGAAAAAAGATGGAATTTTTCGGTGACAGAAATAGGCGCGCGATTAGAGCTAGAGATGATGATTTCTTATTATAGTACGGAAATTACATCGATTAGGAAAAATAACATTATTATTATTATTATTATTAATTTAGCCAGAATTAATAAAATCTCCCCGGTGGTAGAAAATTGTTGCGAGTCAATTAATTGCTTCAGGTCAAAGTTGACTCATTCGATGTTGCCTGGTTAGTCTGTCGTCAACGTGGCAGATCATGCCAGGTGGCATAATCTGTTACTTCGCCGCAGCCACCGGTGAGCCCACGCGTCGCGCATATGGGCCCCGCCAAGTATGATTCTCGCGGGCACAAAGCCTGGCCCAGTTCTTCTGGCCATCCTCGGCCCATTGGATGATGAATGATTGGCGTGGGGCCATTCTGTTACTTGCTCTAGGAAAAAAGTTGTTTGATGAATCGGGACGCATACCAATACATATTCATAACGCTGCCGTTTGCGTGTAAAGCGCTACTGATCTGGAAGGGTCTAGTGTTAGAGTCTTTTCATTTGGGCTCCCAGGTGAACAAAGGCCGTGGCTACCTCAGTACGAAGAGCTACGGACGCGGGGGATGCATGTGGACCCCACCTTTGCGTGGCCTCCCCGTCAACGTGAAAGGCCGCTTGGTAGAAAGGGCCGGTTAGCGGAGAAGGCGGGGCACACGCTTCCGTTTATAATCCTCAAGAGGGGCGGCCGATTCTTCTTCGAGCAGGAAGGGGAGGGGGAGGAAGAAAGTCGAGGAAGTGGAGATGCTCCTTCGGAGGCTGGAGCTGTGCGTACGCCTGCTGCAGTTCGCCGTGGAGTTAGTCGTCACCGCGGCGGAGGCCGCCGAAGGAGAGATCCACCGCGGCGACCGCGCCTTGCCGCGGCCTGCGAGGGGCTCGGAGGACGCCCGGCGGGTCTCTGCGAGCGTCCTCACCCTCATCCTATGACAGAGGGTGGGGCGCTTGAGGATTCACGCCTCGGAGGCGTCGAGATCGACGAGGGAGGTCCGGGATTTGCATACTAGATCCCCCGCGGACCTCCCTCCCACATCTGCTAACTCCCCGGAGAAGGTATCTGCCTGAACCGAGTTTCTTGACGATTAGGCTCTTCCCCGAGTCATCGGATCCCCCTTCCCTGTATGTATTACCTGGCCTTCTGATCCCGTGACGCGTATGCGTGAACTCCCTTTTTTCCTTCCGATGACCGATTAGATTTCATCCCTTCCTCCCCTGTACCTGTTAGCTAAGTGTCTCCGCCCCATCAGAGATCGAAATCAGTCAAGGACCGGCTGCGCCGAAGAAGTCGACATCCGGCGAGGGGAGGGGGAATCCGCTGGCAGTTTTGTTTTGTTTGCATCCCCTCAAGTTTGTTCAGGGGAGTTCCCGAAGCACGGCTGTGATCCCGTGGAGGCATCCCGTTGCGCTCATCTCTCCGGAACCGCTGGAGATTGTCCTGCCCGAACGAATCCTCTGTAAAAGTCTTGTCGCCACCTCCATATTTCGTAAAACTGTGTACAGATGAGCAGGCTAACGCAGCCCTGCATCCGACCTTGATCTCCTCTAAGCCTGCCTTACGGCCCTGTATTTGTTCCTCGATTGCTGCCCGCAGAGGACGATTGCTCCTCTGAAGAAGCGCCTCTTACGGTCATTTCTGTGATGGGTTCGCCGTAAACACTTTTCATCCATTCCATCTCTCTCTCTCTCTCTCTCTCTCTCTCTCTCTCTCTCTCGCTCTATGGTATGTAGGAGTTGACCCAATAAAGCCTCCCCAAAAATCTATTTGATCATAAACTAAATAAAAATCTATTGATCAAGACCCTCCTCCAAATGGGCATTTGATATCCAAATCACCACATGATTAGCCTAAGATAATCTGATCGCTTTGAAGGAGGGAGTGGGGGGGGTTGACTTGACATCATTTTTTCTCTTAAAATCATGAAGGTCTAGATGATAATATTTCAAGAAATAATTACCAATTTAGGTGGCTTGGTGTTCTTGACGCACATCCATTATAAAGGACTCATCACTAGGTTCCACTATTTTCATAGTATTCTTTAGTTGACTCAAGATTTTTCTAAAATCTCTCTCTAGATTTTATGCTTAGAGGCATAAAAAATCAGGGAAGTTTCTCTACTTCTCTCTCCTCAATTTAAGAAAACGTTATTCTTAAAATTAGATATAAATAATTTCTTTTAAATTTTCACTATAAGTAAAATTTAATATGAATGATGATCAATTTATAGTTTAGGGGGAGCAGATGCAAACTTTTTCTTTCAATGGACACACTTGCGCGAATTCAGGTAACGGCTACAAGGGAGAAATAGAAAGGAAACTGTACCCGACCAGGGATGGACGTAAACTTTGTGTATATTGGATCTGAGTGACACGTAGCTGATATGATGTAGTCCAAACGGTTTTGTTGTAGGCATGATGAAGCGACAAGCTAGGGGATATTCTGATAGATGCCTCAAGTCGAGGTTGGAATGTGTAGGGAAGTCAATAGAAAGTGATTGTGAACAGTCGTTGGAATTGAACTTAAGTCGTTAAAGTGATGGACTCGTCATTAGGTTCCACTATTTTTGTAGTATTCTTCAGTTGACTCAATTTTTTTCTAAAATCTCTATCTAGATTTTATGTTCTCATGCATCAAAAATCAAGAAAGTTTCTCTACTTCTCTCTCCTCACTTTTAGGAAACATTATTTTTAAAATTTAATATACTTTTTTATAAAAAAAAAACTATAAGTAAATGACCCACCGATGATCAATTTGTGTAGATTGGATATGGGTACCTCAAGTCAAGGAGGGAAGGTGCAGGGGAGTCAATAGAAAGTGACTATGAATAATCATTGGAATTAAACTTTAGTCTAATTAGAGATACCCAATCTCGAGATTCCTTTGAGACTTCAATTGAAAAGCTCTCATGTTCCTTTTGTGGGCCATGTTCATATGGGTTGGCCCTATCCTCTATTGGGCTCACCCTAATGCTGAAATAGTTGACTTTGCTCTAGAAAGCCCGACTACTCTAATCTGATCTTAATGGCTTGACCACTTCAGAACCTAATTGTTTTAATTCATAACATTGGACCAGTCAATTCATACACTACTTTTGGGCTGTTGCCATTAAATTGTTCAATACCTACCATGGGGTCCTCCATGAGCAGCACCTCTCAAAAAGAGTAGAGAGGACAATATCTAGAATAATTTTAAGAATCTTCCTGTTCTTCCTGTTCTTTTTCTTCTTCACTGTGCAAACTTTGATGAAAATGTCTGAATACTTTAGATCATTATCAAACAATTGAAATTTATAAATCATAGGAATAGAACACTGTTTATGAAGTTTTGTTATAGTTGATTATGAGACTAGAACTTCATTTAGATGAGTTGTTTTGACAACCTTGAATCCACAAATGCATAACTTTGATGAAAATATATATGAAATAATTTGAATCATCATCAAATTATAAAACCTTATAAATCATGAGAGCACACTTTCTATGAAACCTTGTTATAATTGATTATGACACTAAAACTTCAGTGAAATGAATTGTTGTGATAACCTTGAATCCACAATGTGTGAATTTTATTAAAAATATTTATTAAATATTATTGACAAGAAAGATTAAATCCTAAGATTAGATTAACTCCTAAGATACATGTGTTTATATAGGTGAGAGACAATAGAGAGATAATGTCCCAAGTGAGCCACATAGAAGAGGATGTCCGAACACTCCCTCTCAAGTTGGAGCATTTAAGTCAAATATATCCAGATTAGTATATATAGTATCATATGACACTTCTGTAAAACTTTTGGTGAAGATGTTCACCAACTAGTTGAATGAAGTGACATGTGATATGGAGATAACTCTTGTCAGAACTTTGTCTCAAATGTAGTGACAATTAATATCAATGTATTTGATCCGCTCGTGGAATGTGAGGTTTTTGATAAAGAAGATTGTTACTTGATTGTCACAGGAAATAGATATAGGTGTCTGAGGAGTGACACCTAAGCTCTCTAGAAGATAGTGAAGTCATACCATCGCACAAACCATCTCAGTCATAACATGATATTTGGTTTTTGCATTATAATAAGATATCAACTTTACTTTTGAGAGCATCAAGTGACTAAGTTACCATCTAACATATATGTAATATCCAGTCATCAACTTCTGATCTCTTTTGTCACCAGCATACCCAACATCTGAGTAGACTTCAACACATAGGTGACCATGACACGTGTAAATGAACCCCATCCTTATAGCCTATTTGATATAAGCTAAGACACATAGTGCTCCCTCCCAATGGACTTGATGAGGTTCTTGAATAAACTAGTTGAGAACACTAATTATATACAAAATGTTAAGATATCTCAGAGGTGAAATAATATTTTAGAACTTTAGACCGCACCTCCATAGGTGGTAATTCTGATTTGTAGCTAAGAAACTTCGTTTCTAAAAAAGATGAAGGGCATATTTCTTTTGAGATAAAGCTAGCTTGCTCGACTGGTAAGCAAACTATATCTCAAGAAAGTAGCACGGTGTCCCCAAGTTTCTTATGACAAAGTGCTGTTATAAATGGGCTTTGATAACATAAATGTCTACCTTATCACTCTTAGTCACAAGAATGTCATCAACATACATGATCAGGATGACCATACCTCAAGGCTTGATATTCTCGAGATAGTAGGGTTAACAATGTATAAAATGAAGCTGAAGATAGTAAGAAGGTTACTGAACTTTACAAACTAGGCTCGAGAACTTTACTTGAGTCTATAGATAGCATGCTGAAGCAAACAAACCTAGAAAGACTCACCTTGAGTAACATATCTTGAAGGTTACTTTATAAAAATCTACTCATCCAAGTCACTATAGAGGAAGGCATTAAACACATTTAACTATTGAAGTGATCAATCACAATGCTCTACTAAAGAGAGAAGAATCTAAATAGAGTTCGACAAGACCACATGTGAAAAGGTTTCCATATAATCAATGTCATAGATTTGAGTGAAGCCACAAGTAACCAAGTGAACTTTATGATGAACAATGGAGCCATATGGGTTGTACTTTAGTGTGAAGACCCACTTGTATGTCACAATATTAATATTGGTCAAATGAGGGGCAAGCTTCTATGTGCCTTAAGAAATCAGTACTCTAATCTCTAAATCTATAGCTACTTTCTAAGTAGGGGTCTGAAGTGCCTCAACATGCAATTGTGGAATGACTTAGAGGCCACGAAGAGGATAAAGACATAAAAGGTGGGGTGAAGATGATTATAGAAAACAAATTGGGATATAAGATGTTGAGTGTAAGAGCATGTACCTTCGCACAATGCAATGAGAAGATGAAGATCATCCATAGGTAGTGTAGGAGAGTTAGCTAGTGGAGTAGTGGTGTCACGTGATGTGGGTGAGGATGGAGCTGCACTTAGAGTTGAGGCATCAATAAAGGACATAGGTAGTGGAGGTGTCAACAAACAAGGGAGAGATAAAGAAATAATAGAATGAAGATCTACGAAGAAGACAAGGCCTAGAAACCTAGGGGGTGGAGACACATATGAACAAGACGATGAAAGAGATGAAGCAAAAAGAGAGAAATCCTCATGAAAGTAACATCAGTGAAGGTCACATAATAATGGATGTTGGGAAATTATACTAGATAATCTTTTTAGGTGTGTGAGTAACTTATGAAGATATCTTTTAGAGTACGAGGAATGAGTTTAGAAAGAGATGACGAGTGATCATGAACGAAAACAGTACAATAAAAAACTTGAGGAGGTAAATACAAAAAGAAGCGTGGGGTGTGAGATGTTGGAGAGGAATGATACCATTAATAGAATAGAAAGAAGGTGATTTTGAAGATAAGTGGCAGTCAGGAGTGCGTCAGACTACATCTAATATAGAGCATGTATCTTAATGAATAATGTGTGAGTGATGTTAAATAAGTGACAGTGT